CCCCAAAACCCCAAAACCCCAAAACCCCAAAACCCCAGTCTGAAGTATAAAATTGAACTTATTATTCAATGTTATTAATAAGATGGTCAATATTGTGCTGCCTGGCTATCAACAATACAGAGTTCTTTGAGAGACCTGTCTTATTCAGCAAGATATTTTTAAGATTCGAATCTGGAAATCTTGAAGGAGATAGGCTTACAAACAGATTCTGCAAATGATTTGGGTTTTGTTTCCAGTGGCCTGTGTAATTCAAACCTCAACCCTCAAATCAAAGTTTCTCTAATTGGGAGTTTTGAACTGATCTTGAAAGATTAGGGGCATTACTTAAGTCTATAATTCATTCATAAAATGAGAGATCTTGTTTATCTCTGCAGAGATACATAATCTTTTCAAATTGTTTCTGACTTATTTCAAATTTATTTAAAAGAAACAGACTTTGCGACTTGAGGTAATATTCTTAAGAGGTCTTTGTAATAATAACCGATCTTGCCAATGGCAAGTCTGCTCAATCTTGTATCTTTATTAATTATATTTAACTTTCCAACATTAATGAACGATGATTTCTTGAGTATTAATTTAGTTTCTTTCTGTTTTCTCTTCAATAAAAATAGATAAATAGTACTCCAATGAGAGCAATTCAAATGCCCAATAGCTTTGATAAAATTAAAAGAGTTTTGTTTGCTTGCATTAAGCCTTAGAATTCCTTGAGTCATCTTAATAGGTGAACCTAATTTGAAGCATTTTAATGTTTCATTTATAACTGCTATATCTAAAATATTTTCATTTTCAGTAAGAGACGTGTCTTTCACCGCTCTATACTGTATTCTCATGGTGTTGATTTCAGTTTGTTTCCTCTTGATTATTTGATTCAATTTATTTGTATCAGGAATTTGTGGTTCCTCAGTTCATTTCTGAGAGATCCATTCTGTTCAAAACTTGGCAAACCCAGGATCTTCGCCAAGCTCAATCAGAAGGTCTTCTCTGACTCCTTTCTCTTTCATCACTGAGAGAACTTTTGTTATTAAGTCACATTTAAATTTAGGTTCCATAGTTGGTAAATTTAATAATAAATTTCTATTATAATTTTCTTTCATGGGGTTTTGGGGTTTTGGGGTTTTGGGGTTTTGGGG